GAACAACATTATAATTTGAACATCATTATAATTTGAACAACATTATAATTAGCATATGTTATTATCTATCAAGATGCTGTCAAACTGAAAATTGTTAAAGTTTATTACGATGGAAAAAAGATGCAGTATCATAACAGTGTGCTGTTCTATGCGGTGGAAAAAATAATTAATGCACCGACATATCAGTTTTTACTATTTTTGGAAGTTGAATTGATGAAATTGGAATGGTTTTTGAATTGGTTTTTGATGACATGTGTGTGGCCTGAAGCTATATTTAAACCTATAGTTTTGTAGTTGTTGTTCTGCTGCACGTAGTTGCTTTTCCTCTATTCTGCTGCCTAAGTTGTGATAGTGTTTCTAACTGGTATAGTTTGGATAGTGTTTCTAACTGGTATAGTTTGGATAGTGTTTCTATTTGGCTATTTTATTTCAAACTGGTTGTTGGAGTTTTAGAGTTTGGTTTTCCTAATGGTATAGTTTTCGTTCGTCAATTACATTTTCATCATGTTGCTACTGATGAGTCATTTTCGTGACTATCATTTATGCCATTATAGTGTTTTGCATCTCTGTGTGTCTTTATATTCGTTTCTGTTGGGTCTGAATTATTTTGGAGCTTTGAACCTTAATGTCATTTTCGAATTCAAAAGGAATTTCGTCTACTGTACTATGTTTACTGCCTTTGTTGTTGGCTTTGGTTTTTGGTCAGATTACAAATCTTGCTACTAGTATTGAATAGGTAGTATATTTGTGTTTCGATTAGGCCTTGTTGCATTTCAATTTTGAATGTTGTGTTAATTTTGGACTGATAACATTTTGTAAATGTTGTGGCTGCTGTTGGGATTATATCTTGTTAATTACACTATTTCGCCGCTGCTGTGATTAATTTCTGCCTGCTATTTGAATCACTATGCATTGTGACATAATGGTGGTTGTGAGTTTGTTACACTTATTCTTGGTCTTGTTTATGCTTCTATGTTCTTACGTCAGTATACGACACTGTTTGGTTTTTACTTATATATGGTGTACTAGTACCTTGCATGAGTTTCCAAGGAGTGCTCTTTCATATTTTTAAATTTCTTGTTTTTAAAATTTTGAAAAGCTGAGATAACGAATACAGATGTAAGTCTTCGAACTTGATGATCATGTTATACTTGATAGCTAGATGCAATTTTCTTTATAATATTGTCTGTCTTGAAAACAATGAAATTTGCTTTATTATCTTATCTTATGTATGTCTTGTTATTAGTGAAACCTTTCTACCAAATTATTAGTGTTATGGAACAATGACTTTTATGTAACTGTATTCAAATTAGACATTTCAACAGCAACTGCTGAGAAAGCCAGAAGGAAATGAAGCATTTTTAGCTTATCAAGTAGGGCGACAAGGTGTATTTGGGAGTAACAGTTTCCAGCAACCCAATGCTATGCAACTTCCTGCTATTTGTTCTTGTAGTCATCATTGGCAGTTGTTCATCATTAATCCTAAGAAGTTTGAAGTAGCCTTTCTATGTTCTTTGGAAAAAAAGCCAGATAAAAAAATTTATGACATTATTGAATTGTAAGTCTATACTACACTTGTCAATTGATTCAACTTGTAAGTAAATAGTATAAAAGTGAAGTAGTAATATCACTATACTATGATTTTTAGGTTTCTTATTTTGATGATGTTTTGATAAGTACGTACTTGGTGCTTTAGAATTATCATGCACGTGTTTGTTTGTGTATTAGTATTATTAATATACGTAATTGTGTTTATAAGTTGCTGGTATATTTTATTTGATAATTAGGGGTTTTACTGTGATCTGTGTTGTGTGATTTTTTTTTGGTGTAATTTGTTGATTGAGTTGGATAGTCTAATCTGGGGGTAAACTGTTAAATGGGAAAGCTGCATCTGATTTGTGTGATTATCCAAAAAAACAACTTCTTAGGTCGGTTAGTTATACCCGATTTAAGAAAGTAAGTTCTTAAGTCGGGTATAAATGGTTTCTTCAGGCTAGACTTATTAAGTCGGGTTCTGTCTAACTGACCTAATAATAGTTTGTTAAGTCAGGTCCACAACCGACTTAAGAAGTCAAAACTTCTTATGTCGGTAATTCTTAGGTCGGGCTCGGACCCGACTTAAAAAGTCATTTTTAACCGACTTAAAAAGCCTTTTTTCCACTAGTGAAAGTTTCACCACAATTGACACCCGTCTATTGATCGGAGTTATTACCGACTAACCGAGCCTTATACCTCTCAAAGGAACCATCAGCTTTCTTCTTATGCCTGAAAATCCATAAGCTTCGTATAATGTTAGCATTATAAGGACGTGGTACTAAGTCCCACGTCTTATTTACATAAGAGAATCATATTCATCTTTCATGGTCATTTTCCAATTAAGGTCCTGTAATGCATTAATAGGATTGGTAGGTAAAGGAGAAATTTGGTGTGAACTAGAGGTGCGGAGATTAAGTAGTTGGCGAGGCTTGAAGATGTCGTGTTATGCTCGGGTTGTCATTTGAGGAGAGATTGGATGGTTGGCTAAAGGAGGGTTAGTTATAGTGTTTGATGGGGAGAGGTCATGTTAGGCGTAGTGGGGTGTGTGGAGTGGAATTTTGTATTTTTGGAGATGGAGGTAATGTTGGTTGGTGTGCAGTTATGGTGATGGAAGATGGTGGGGGTGAGTGATGTTGTCGTGGTAGTGGGAGGTTAGTTGTGTGAGTTAGGTTCATTTATAGGGAAGTTTGATGTAGGTTGAAGCAAATGATAAGGAAATGGTGTATCACTTGTATCCTAAAAAATTATAGCAAGAGGACTCAGGAGCATTGGAATTTGAGAAAGGAAAAATATTTTCGTCAAATGTGACGTGCCTAGAAAGGACGATTTTACGACTTGAAAGCTCAAAACATTTATAACCTCTATGATTGGATGGATATCCTAAAAATACACATGGTGTGGATCTTGCTTGAAGTTTATTTCTTGTAGTGGAGGGGATGAGGGGAAAACATAGACAACCAAAAGCTTTAAGATGAGAGTAGGATGGAGATTTTTGGTAAAGAATTGTGGTTGGTGTTTGAAGAGCTAGTTTCTTGTTGGGTAGGATGTTTGAGTGATAAGTGGCCATTTGAAGTGCATGATGCTAAAAAGAAGGTGGCATTGACGCATGAGCAAGGAGAGGGCAAATGATATTATTGATAGTACGAATTTTTTGCTCGGCTTTTCCATTTTGAGGTGATGTGTGAGGACATGAAAATCGAATCATTCCCTTTTTCTCACAAAATTGATGAAAAAGAGAGTTTCTGTATTCCTTTCTGTTATCACGTTGAAAACATTTAATATCTTTTTCAAATTGTGTTTTAATGTGATTATGAAATTGTAAAAAAAAATGGAGTGAGCTTGTGATTTATTTGCTAGAGGAAAGGTCCATAAAAGTTTGTAAAATCATCAAGAAATAAAATGTAATACCGATGAACACCGGAACTAAGAGTTAGTGATGTCCATATATCACTGTGTATAATATCAAAAGGTAATAAGGTAAACGACAAAGACTCATAAAAAGGTAACTTTATTTTTTTCCGAGTTGACAAGACTGACAAAAGAAATTGTTTCGGAACTTATTACATAAGATAGAATTGTTTCGGTGAAGAGAATTCAAAATAGATGCTCCCGGATGTCCTGAACGATTATGCCATATTTCATTGGATAAAGCGGAAAAGGTAGACGGTGTTGAGCTTGGATTATATGGCCTTGTGGTTAGAGGGTAAAGATCACTATTACATCTCATTAAAGGCATCCCTGTCTGAAAATCCTTCACAGAAAAACCAAACGGGTCAAATTCAATAGAAACTTCATTGTCAATGATAAATTTTCTCACAGAAATAAGATTTTTGATTAATTTGGGTGCATGCAAGACATTGTTTAAGATTAGGGGATATTGAAGGTTCTGTAATAATGCATTACCACAACCAATAACTGGAATGTTATGACCACTATTGACAATAATATTGTTGCTAATATTGGAATAAGACGTAAGATTACCTATGTTTGTTGTCATGCGAGATGTAGCTCCAGTGTCCATGTACCACCGATCGTCAGAAGGAGCAAGAGACAGGGCCGACCAATGATATAGGCAACCTAGGCCTATGCCTAGGGCCTTAAAAAAAATTTTTTTTATCAAATATATTATTCTATGTCTGTTGGTTGGTTAATTTACTGAAGTTATTATAAAATTATGGCCATCATTACTTCTATTCTATTGTAAATATGTCAGACTTAATACCTAAATGTAGGCGGGACAGATGAAAATCTCAAAATATGTGGCCTACAAAATAAAATTGGATTTCATATCCATGGTTCTATACCCTCTCACATTGGATTTGAATATTCAAATTGAATGTTTTTTCATACAAAACTTCTAATTTAAATATTCAAACAAAAAATTCGACCAATTCTAATAGTTTTAAATTTTGTTTTTCAAAAGAAATTTTAATATTTTTCATATGAAATGTAGTAATATAGAATTAGCACTTATGCAGAAATTTGACTAAAGCATTCAATACACAATGCGATGCTAGAAAAGCTTTATTGGTATGGACCACAGAGATAAGTACTCAAAACACAATTATTACTATATTGGGTTTCAGAATAAGATTTTAAAAAATGGACAAAAATATACTTGGGATTTAAAAATATAATTTTCAGATTGGAAGTGCTAAACAATAAATTTTCCAATTTAAATAATTAAACAAGAAACAACATTGGAACTAATAAAAATAAAAGATGGATATGAAATAAAAATGTCTCAGATTAAGTAGGCCAAGAATCACACATAAGCCAACAACATTTTATTCTTTACAAAAATTATTTATATACAAAAAAAAAAAACAAATAGAAAATTTTGTGCCCAAAGTCTACCTATACATATATATGCATAGATATATATATACAACTGATGGGCTAATTAAATACATATAATATTATAGAGCGTAACTCTAAAAAAATAATAATAATATATAGAAGAATTAGACGAGGGCTTTCCTTGAAGCTTTTACTTGAACATTAATCCAAAGTTTTTGACCAGCCTCACAGCGTTTGCCAACAGAACAGAAGAAATAATAATCACCAGGCTTGGTCAAAGGAACGGTTGAGTTTCCTCTGAAGTATGTGTGTATGGTATTTCTGTTTGTGCAATTATCAAAATCATCCTTGTTTACGTAAAGAATTGTGCTCATCCCTGGGTTGTATTGGAAAACTGCAACATTTTAATATAACTTTCTTAAGTTAGTAACATATTAAATAACTAATAATAGGTAAGTACTTGTTTGTTGCATGAAAATGGTATAAATAGTTCTGAATAAAAATGTGTTTGATGTCTGACACGTGTCAGTGTTCGTACATGTATTTATGTTTTTTTTTTTATAATACATGTCGACGTGTTCGTGTTGTGTGTCGGTGGAAAAGATTGAAGGTGATTGAGACATACAAAGTTCATCGCCAACGACGAAGGTTTGGTTCTGTGCCCAATCCTGATAAAACCTATAGTAACCAGGCAAATCCCAACCACTATTGCCTCCAACAATGTGTCTTGTTGAATTTACGGATACAAATATGATACAACCAGTCATGACAAATATGACGAAACTAAGGTTCATTTTCTCAGCCATTTCCTTTCCTTGTTTGTGCTTGTATATGATGATGATATTGATATTGTAATATTAAAAGATAGGATTGAATCGAAGTCACTTTTGATAAAGAAATTGGCATTCCCCTCCTTTTATATGGTTTTTTATTTTGGGAAGTTACTTTTTTAGATACGAGAATGGCTGAGTTTCATATGTTAAATGAGGATGTTACCTATATTCTGGTCGGATTGAAGGGATGAGAGTGCATTGGATAGGATTCATTCGTTAACACAATCAACAAAATTATGTCCACTGTATATTTGGCATGTTTAACTCTGGTTTGTTATATTTTAGTAATAAAAGTTTAGCCAATAAGAGCCATATTTGATAATATGGTGTAGCTATGTCTAGATAAAAATATCAATTATAGAAGAAACATTTATAAAGTGTAACATAAGATATTTTTATTTTGATGTTTTAATAAAAACACTTGTATTTAAATGAAGAAAAATTGTTACAATAAAGTTAAAGAAGAAATAGTCATTCAAAAATCTAAAAACAAACTTTATTTTTTATCTAGGGTTTTTCGTACAAGAAAACTCAAGAAAGTGTTTATAAGAAATAAAATATTTTATAAAGCTTAAAGTATAAATGAGAACTATGATTAAACGACACATACACACAAAATATTTTTTTAATTATCTTTTCTCAAAGAAATATTTTGAAAATTGTTTCAAAATTGTATCAGATGAGTTGGAAGCTGTCTGAAAAGCTATGGCAAAGTTTTTGTCTTTAGCAATCGTTCACACCTTATCCCAATCGATTGGAAGATTTCAAAAATGCATCATAATCGATTATATCACCATCTTAATGATGGGTAACATCTATATATTTTGTATTTCCATTTTTAACTTGATAATCAATTGTAATTGAGTCAACCAATCAATTGGAACACTTTGACAATTGATTGACATGTCATAAAATTCTTTAAAATGATTTTCTTTTTTGTCCACCTCTAACCTATAAATAGACGTTCTTTCCCTTATTTCAAATCATCCAGAACTGAGTTGCATTTCATACCCCTCTCTCTTTGTAAGCTTACCTTTTACTTTCTCTCACTATGCTTTTAGTCAAAATACTTTTCGAAAAACTCTTTTGTGAGTAAGAAGTTGTAATTCTGGAATGGTAGATTTGTAAATTCACCAAGGAACTTTTGTTTATACAATGGTTGAACATTTTATCAAGTTAAGGATTGTTTGTTTGCGTTAGAAGTTAAACCCGTAAAATCTTTGGTTTAGGAATTGTGTAATCAAACCCTTATTTAGGTTCGAAGTCTCAACCTGTGATAAAAGCTTTCATAGGTTCTTGGTTAGTACTGAGGTAAAACTAAGGTTTAAGATTCTAGATAAGTCTGATATTAGTTAGCTCGTGATAAAATCAAGGTGTAAGGTTCAAGATTAGTCCAGTATTAAAATCTCTCACGTTATTGGTTAGCCCGTGGTAAAACAAAGGTTTAAGGTTCGTCAGTTCATCCTAGTGTTAAAAGCTCGCAAAGTTTGTTTAGAAGATTGAAGACTAACCGCTCCAAGATTCTTGTGGAAAGGCGACAAGCCATTTTATTCCACTGTTTATTGTTTGGTTGGAAGTCAAGTTTAAACTTAACTTTTTCTTTGTATAAGAAGGGTTCGTGAGTATAACCTACTAAAAGCTCTCAAGTTTATTGGATACTCTCAAGATCAGTTCTTGGAGAGAGGAGCGTGTCTTTTTTTTTGTTAGAATGAACCTCTATAACTCTCGGTGTTCTCTCTTTTCCCTCAACTCTTTACTTTCTACAATTTACATTCTGCAATTTTAATTTTCCGTTGCTTAATATTAAAACAACTTTCAAAATAATTTTAAACTCTGATTTTGATTCCAAAATTTTTTCAAACCCATGTTCTTCTTTAAAAACTAATTGTCTCAAGAGGAAAATAACTTCCGACAAGAGATCTTTTCTAAACACACTACCACTTTTCAATAATAGTAGATTTGATATTTAGAAAGCTTGGTTTAAATTTTTTCTTCAAAGCATAGATCGTGAATTTTGTGGGAAAAAAATAATCAATGGTTCGTTTATCCTTACTTACTAAGTAAATGGAAAAGTAGCAGATAAACCTTATTCGCTCTAGACCGAAGAGGAAAATAGAAATTTTGAGATAGATTTTAAAACTAAGAGTTTTATAACAATGTCTCTAGATGATAGTAAATTTTACTATGGTCTCCATTGTAATAGCACCAAGAAAGTATGAGATACTCTTGACATGATATATGGAGTTTCTCCAAGTATCGAACAAGAGAAGATGAACAAGCAAGGCGAAGAAGATGAAGATACTGTTGTATAATTTGGAATCTCAATGCAATTCAATTACCTCTAATTATAATAACAATAAATGAACCTACAAAATAATAAACAATTAAACAACCTGAGACGTGTAAGAACATTTCCTTAAGGATTTATCTGCCTCATAAGCGCAAATTCTCCAGGATTCAACAAGTTCTTCCTAGATTCTCACTATAAATCTAAGGTATCAGAACAACAAGAAATACTCTTTCAGATGACAGGAAGATGTAACCAGAAATCAAAAGAGCAAAGAAGAAAATGAAGTATATAAAAGATATTTTCAGATTTTTTTTAACGTGTTTTTCATTTTTTTTATACGTTGTCCAAAAGTAGGAGAGTTGTTATATGAGAGAGAGAGAGAGAGAGAGAGAGAGAGAGAGAGAGATGTTTAATGACATTGGCTAAGTCAAGTCAACAATAAAGTAAAATAATTATTGATCAAATTATACTTTACTAAAAATATATAAATAAATTAAATAATAATAATTTTATTTAAAATTATTTTCTCATATTTGTCACTTAAAAATTGAAAGAAAATTTATTTAAAACTTTTGAAATATAATCAAAATTTACAACAGATACCACTTTTAGTTGTTTCTTAAAGTTTTGAAATGTTAAAAATTATATTGAAAATTTTGTCACTAACAATGTTTAAGAGCTAAGAATTGGAAGTCTAATCCAACTCTTAAATCAAAAGATGAGAGCCTTCATGAATTTCAAGAAAATCAAGAAAGAAGGAAATTGTAGAAAAATTGAGCGAACTGGTTCAATTACTCAAAGATGATGAAGTAAAAACCGATGAATCACCAACTTCATCATACTCTTATTATACAACTCCGGTAGAATCCTTCGAAAGAACATACTTAATAGTTGAACGATCTTCAAAAGATTCAACATCAAATAAAGAAACCTCTTGTTCAAGAAATGATAAAGAATAGAAGTTACTTCAATATTCAGACGAAGAAGAGAAGGAGAGACATCATCCTCAGGGAAAAATATGAAATAATCTTCCTCCAACGAAGAAGATGAAGTTTGCTTAAAGGAAACCTAATATGAAGATACTATTACAGGTATTAAACCACCTTATGAACAACTATTTGTAATGAGTAGTCAATTAGTAAAAGAAAATGATAAACTGATAGGACGCTCCATAGGTCTTAAAGTCGTAAGATACCTTAAAGGATGATTAGGTTTCAAGGCACAGTTCCTAGAATGATTAGGTTTCCTTTTATTTCTGTAATTTGTGTTGGCCGTCCATATCCATCGGCCTTTTAATGAAATCATCATTTTCTCCTCTGAATCTCTTGTAGCATAGGTCTATAGGCTTTTAAATATTTTCCATTTATCCGGATAACCCGTCGATCTCCTCCGATTTCTTGGACCTCATAAGCGTTGTGACTGAACGCTTGGGTCACCTGGAATGACCCTTCCCAATTTGGGGACCATTTTCCAAACCTTTGGTCTTTTTTATTCATCGGAAGGATCGCTTTCCAAACATAGTTACCGACCATGAAGACCTTCTTTTGGACTTTCTTGTTGTATGCCTGGGCCACTCCAGCCTTCTGGTGTAACAACGCGTCGAGTGCTTCTACCCTCTCCTCGTCTAGATCCACCATCTCGTCCATCATCATATTCCAATAATGTTCTGACGGGATATCATATTGACGCTGGATACGCACTGACTGTAAGCAAACTTCTGCTGGCAAAACAACGTCATGTCCGAACACCAAACGAAACGGTGACGACCCGGTGGACTCTTTTGGAGATGTTCGACATGCCCATAATATCTGGTATAACGTCTGGTGCCAATTCTTTGGTTTTTGGGATATGTGTTTCTTAATGAGCCCAATTATTACCTTGTTGGCTGCTCCAAATTGACTGTTCACATGTGCGTAATATGGAGTCGAAGTAACCAGCTTAAACCCTTCTCCTACTGCGAACTCTTGCATTTTTTGGCCGACGAACACTGACCCTTAATATATAATGATCGTCTCAGGAGTGTCGAACTTGTACAAAATATGTTTCTAGACGAAGTTGATGACAACTCCTTGGTCTACTTTTGACAATGGTACGACTTCAATCCATTTTGTGAAATAATCTATTCCGACAAGGATGAACTTATGTTGTTTGGAGGATGCTGGTCGAATTTCTTCGATTATGTCTAAAGCCCACCCTCGGAAAGGCCATGACTTGACTGCTGCATGCAGTTCGTCGGCCGACACCCGTTGTATGCCGGCGTGCTTTTGACACTCTTAGCAACCTTTCGCGAAATCTATGCAATTTTTGAGCATCTTTGGCCAGTAAACTCCCTGTCGGAACAGTACCCTTCTCATTTTTTGGCCGACTTAGTGGGCTTCGCATGCCCCACCATGCACCTTCGGTATTGCCAAATAGGTGTCTGCTTCCGCTAGACACTTAAGCAACACTCCTTCGGGTGTTTTCTTGAACAGTTCGTTCCCCACTAGGACGTAGCTCAAAGCCTGATATTTGATCTTCCTCACCGTTGGCTTCTTTAGATACTCGACCAAAGGCCTTTGACGATTTGTCAGATACAAGTTATCCACCATGTAAATTGCATCATTTATTCTACTGATGTCCCCCATTTCCGTTAGGTCGTTTCTTTCACCAGCTTCCTAGCCTCCGAACGACTTGACTATCGTTT